GATCAACATTGAAATACATAACAAAAAATTTTAGTGAAGAACAAATTCATTCACTAACAACAAGCCGGACTAATGGTATAAAAGAAGGAAGGAAATACAGAATTTGGTATGACATAACAGTAAGTAAAACTGATAGAAAGCATCAATAATTACTTAACTGATTTGTTAACAATTTGGAAGACGATTTAAAGAATGGTCTACCAGTGTTTTCTTCTGTCAGTGTTTGGTCCCCTATATTCACCATGATTTCAAATTAATGGAAAATCTCAAATCACTGCAATGTGAATTTTTTCACTTTGAAATTAAATGAAGATCCAAAAGAAAATAATTTATGTATGGAGAAATAGTTGCAGAGCACGAAAAATTTAAAAATGCAAGCTGATCATGAAAGCAAAATGAAAGTGGAATCTAAACCTGAGAATGGACCTTATAAAGTTTCATCTTTGTAGTCGTGTTTGCAAAAGACTGTCGGGGCATCACTTTTCTATCTCAGATTGAGCTTTATTGCAGAGACAATTCTGGTAGATCATGTATTTGATACATGGCCAGACAGAGGAGCCAGTTGTGTTAAAAATTAAGGACAAGATTAAGATAAAAATTCTTCAACCAAACAATAAATGAATTTATGGCAGTCTTAAATAATGGAGAAGAAGCAAGAGGTAAATGAACCGCCTCTTTAATCTCTAAAGATGTAAAGATAATGCAGGCAACAAAAAAGGAGGATACCAAATAAGACTCAAAGAGATTCAAATATATTGAACAAAATAGAGACAACAAAAATGGAACTGAGACTGTTTTTACTGATTCCAGTGTCAAGAGATATAGAGTCATGCTGCGGGAGAATGTAAGAAGAAATAAAAGCCTATGTGAAAGCTTTATCATCATTCAACAAGGATAAATTTATTATTTCAGTAGACTCTAAAGATGAGGGATTAGATAATGATGATGATTATGAAGGTGATTTTTGAATCAGTGTTCGACCTTCCATGAATATAATTTTAAAACAAATCAATAAATATCTTCACCTTATTTGGAGAAAAGAGTAAAAATACAAAACTGACATTATATTCTTTACAAAAAAAATATTTTCAATTGAAACTTTGAAGAATGTACATTTATTTTGCTAATATGCTAATGTGGATTAATAAATTTTGCGATGTCTGTATTATTGATTTGTGCGAGTTTTCTTTAAAATTATGTTTAAAACATGGTGGAAATTGCAACGTAAAAATATGTGTTTTAGGTCTCTCCAGAAGCATCTTATTCATTCCTAAAACTTTTAAATTCATTTTCGGTCACCTCCTTCTGCAGGGGAGATACCTCCTCAAAACCCGCTGGGACAGAACACTAAGAACCCTTCTAGTTCTTTTTAATTTCACTATCTATTTTAATTCTTAGGGACAAATCTGATTTATCTAGCAAAATAGTGCCTATATTTTTAATACTTGCCCCGGATTTTACTGAGAGAGAAGGAGGTAGAAATTTGGACGGGGCCGAGGGGAAGGGCACTTTTTTCAGATCCTTTGGGGGAAAACTATTCTATCCCAGTTTATGAGTAAAAGAACCTCAACACAATACAAACTAATGCGTTCTTATTCTCCGTTTTTTTTTTTTTTATGCAGTTCATGTGATGAATTAATCTCAATGTTCAATACATTACTCGATTTGGAATCAATTCAAGTTTTTATTCTTATCAATTTCCCAATCTTAGTGAGCGGCATATGTGTCATTTAAATAAATCACGGTTATAAAGAACTCGCTTATAAGGGAAATTGATCTTGGTTATAAGGAACTTTTTACAAATCCCGTATTAATCATTTCAATATGTATCTTATTTGGATACTTAAGGAAGCTAATTTTGTTCTGAGGTCCAAATGTCTTTATTACAAGATCTCTTTAATTGTACTTCTTTGTCTTAAACCAAATTTCCTCGTTGGAAATTACAGGTACTTTACATGTATATTGTAAACGAATTGCTAATTTTATGAATTAAAACTTTATTCAACATACATTTTTCGATGTTCAAAGAATGTTTTACGTAAATATATAGAGGGTCCTTAAGCTTTGTAAAACGCTATCTGTGCCCAGGTGTTTTGTCAAATTGTTTTGATGTTAAGTACCTGGCGCTGATCTGGGAACAGGTTAGAGTTACCAAGTTTATTTAATGAAACAACCAAAAATGTTAATCCCCTCGCCTTAATTTCATTTGATCAAAAGGAACTCTTGTTACTCAGTTTTAAAATCAACAAATTTTGTGGCATCGGAGCAAGTTTAACAACAATGTCACGTCAAAAACAGCGTTGAGAAAGTCTCTCAGAATCTCCACCTTTTCCTCTAATACACGGTCTGTAGCGCCTTTCTCATTCTATAACATTTGACACCTAGTTTTGCTACCCATTTTTCGATTAGATAAAGATAGTTTGTCAGTGTTTTTAAAAACTTTACTGTGTAACTCTGCTTTCACAACTTCTGCAACAGTGAAGTACACATCACTTTCCATCACGTTATTTACTCTGATGTGCATATTTTGAACTATAATTTTTTTTTTTCGCAGATACTCCATCGTCCGATCCAAAGTCTGTACCACTCAAAATTGTCTTTACCATTTACATTAAATGCATTGCATTGCTCATTTATGATACTTATATATTTCTTATTTCCTCCAGCATTTTCAGTTTGTTTTGCAGACTTACAGCTTCTACCTGACGTCCTTTGACGTCATTTTTGGAGTTTTTTTTATGAGGTCTATCTATCTTTAGGAACTGATATTTTTCAAAACGAAGCAACTAGTTTCATTTCAAGTTGGCATCTTTCTAAAATTATATAATATTAAATTAAAAACATTTAATGTCTATTTTGTTTGAACGCCATTTATTAGAGACATGACTATAAATATTATAAAGTGTATTATTATTAAACTATCCAATTTTGAGCTTGCTCCGTAATCCCATGTTCCCTTTCTTAAATTTGTGATAATTTGATAAATAATATAATGATAGTTTTAGAGTTTAAAACTCAAACTCATTGAAATATTTTTATAATTTTTTTTTGTTTTTGTTTTTTTGTTGTTGTTGTTTTTTTTTTTTTTTTTTGAATAACCCACGTACACATTTAAATTTGTTTTATAAAGTATACATGATAACTTAGCTATTGTAGCATTTTCTAACTTTTGATGTATTCTCACCTGAAATCTTCGTCCTCCACAGGCTGTAATCACCCACGATTCGAACAACTACAACAGAAAAAAATACAAGGATAACTAAGAAATAGTATAAAATAAACACTGAATAGACCCATTTATATTTCTAAGATAAAGTTATCTGCCTTTAAACGTAAAAATTGATTTCTTTTCAAACAAGAATATCTGAACTTATTGTTTATGTCAGTCATTTTAAACTCGCGTTATATTTTCGATGAGTTCTGTTTGTTGAAGATTACTTTTAAGCATACTATCATCAGACATAAAGAAAACAGTACATGTAATTTAGGGGGTGTGTAAGCAATGTAAGAATGACAACGAAAACATGTGTGAGACATATGGCAAAAAAGTGGAATTACACGGGAGAAGCAATCATGCAAGGTACCTCTTCTTATGAATATTTTTTACTTCTGACTACATATGAATTCTCCCTCGGTTTGCTTTATGTTATTTTATCGACACTTTGAACCTCATTTCACGTCAGTTAGTCAAAGAGATTGTTTTCAATGTTTATAATCAGCTTAGCCCCACACTGTTGCCTGAACCCTCGCCCAGGGGACATAAATTTAGCATTTCTGCTAATAGCCTCTCGTTCCTTGTAACCATGTAAACAGTTCTTCTGCTAGATTTCATTAAATAATTTTTTTTTTACAAATCAAAGTTTTAATACATTAACAATATTTTCTAAACCTAGGTTCTAAATCCTAGGCCCAGGGAGCTAGGACCAGGTTATTTACAGTTTTTTTCTTCATCATTAGATGCGCCATAAAAACATTGAAATTGGTTAGGTTTTTCAGACAACAAGCTGGAACATTTCAATATCATTTTATATTTTAGATGATGTATGCCGATAGCGAATAAGCACACTACGCATTCCTGTTATAAATTATTTTGAAGAGGAATTTATTCAGAAGCTTTTACGTAAAAAAATCCACTTTACAATTTTCCCATTTTATTCATACACTGTACGTTCATTCGATATTTCCCATTAGTCTCAAAGAAAAGACACCACAGAGCCTAACATATTCGTCTCATATTTGATTTTTTATTTAAAAAAAAAAAAAAGACAGTGATGAAAAACTACATGTAACGACTTACCTGTATGATAAATATAATGACAAACATTTATCTTCAACGTCCTTAATTTATGTAGCGGTATACAATAATTACCTCCATAATGTGATAACGTCTCTCACTCGATTCAATACACAAGAGTATCTTCAACGTGCGAATATTTTTTTTTTAACGAGGTATGTTACTGACAATTTAATTGTTGATACAAGGTTAGAAAGATACAAGAAGTCAACATTTTGAAAAAAATCCATATGCAAGGTCAATTCAATGACCCTGTTTGCAGATACAATGCACATGTACAAGTACAATTAGGTCAAATGTAGCTCTGTGGTTGAGAAAATGGTGACATGCAAAATAGACAGCTACAGATCCATGCATTGTTAAAACCTTCGATTTACGGCGACGCCTTTTTGTCTGAGCTAGAAAAAAAGACATCGCTTTCTAGTTACCACGCCATTGCAAACTTTCTCCCTGTAAATGAAAGTTTTTTGGTAACCTGAGAAACATTGAACTGCTGAATGTCGGGTAAAAAGTGAAGTATGGCTAAATAAAAAGCAATATCATGTTGACATTTGGCTTGTATTGATTACCGGTACTTTGTGTTTGTGGTCTGTCATTTAGTCTTCTAAATTAATTCATTTACTAACGGATTATTGGTAAGATGCTGTATACGTCCTTGACATTTCAGGGGAGCATGGGAAATTGTTAATTACCCTTTGATTTTATTGTGAATAGATAACTGAATTTTAAAATTTATCCAACTAATTTCAGCGTTATCAAGATTTGCAGTATATTCCTAGTATACATGAAAGAGGAAAAGGGCTGATTTTTTTAATCACTATCTTCACATGAGCTTTGTTAAAACATCAGCATCCATCTTAACACTTACATGTAGAATCAAATAACCCCAAAAATAAAGTTATCATTATCCATCTCCGCCCTAAATTTGATAAGTAATATTTGTAAAACATGTAATATGTTTTAACATAATTTAGGCCAATACCTTGAAAATGTAAAATAGATAGCGTTTTTGTGATTTATTTGAAGATACATAATTTGTCGAAATACGCATCTGCTGCATCAAAATTGGTACCGTATATGATTTACGTATATGATTTACTTTTGATAGTTTTAGAATGGCATTACAATCATGTTAATTATCTTGATGCAAATTCTATAATACAATACAGAGATGCCATGTTCAATTATATGAGAACTTTATATTTAAAAAAAATCTTAAAATTTCGAGAATCCCGAAGCTACTATGAATTTCGCCCCTAAACTCCACAGAAAGCATTTTCCATGAAACCACTTGGAGAGTGAGATTCCGTGCTTAATCTACATAAATATCAAATTTTGGTAGCCTTTGTCATAGAGAAATTGATATTAATTTGTTATTTAATTTCGAAACGTGTCAATGAATTTAACTTGTAAAATCGATTGCCAGCTTTTTTTTTCTTTTTTTTTAAACGAATCCTTTTTAACTTTTGCTAGCATTCTTATGAAAACCCTGTTTTGTGGTATGGATTAACAAGAATTATCTTTACCACCACCTACCCCCCCCCCCCCCTTCGCGTCGCCTTTCCGAAAAAAAAATCCGCGCCTGATTATCTACTTCGCACTAGAGTTTTATGTAATTGGAGGTGATAATATTCTATTAATAAAAATATACAATAAGTTGTGATCACATCTCTTTCTACAAGTGGGTGTCTAATTCATTCAGTTTTTATAGTTTTATCATTTTTACAGCGAATGCCGCGTCAAAATAATTATCTAGAGTGTCTTACTCATGTACGGTGCTTGTTTTGATATTTATACTTTTTTTTACCTCTGTGATATTTTTTTTCTTCTCATAACTTCATAAACAAGCTTTTATAGTGTTCTGTACGGATGAAATGAAAATAAAACCATTACAAAATCCACAGGAAGAAGTAGTTTACCATTTCAAGATATATTTAGCTTAATTTGTTTTATTTATTACTGATTTTAGACCGAGATAAAGAGGTTTCCACTTACATAAATTCTTTCTGGCAACATACTCTCTCTCATCTGGTTCACTACTGACATCAGTCTCTATGACACCATGCTCCCTCTCCTCTGGTTCGGTATTGACACCAGTCTCTATGACACCAGGCTCCCTCTCCTTTGATTCACTATTGACACCAGTCTCTATGACACCAGGCTCCGTCTCCTCTGGTTCACTATTGACCCCAGTCTCTATGACACCAGGCTCCCTCTCCTCTGGTTCACTATTGACCCCAGTCTCTATGACACCATGCTTCCTCTCCTTTGATTCACTATTGACACCAGTCTCTATGACACCAGGCTCCCTCTCCTCTGGTTCACTATTGAAATTAGTCTCAAAGACACCATGCTCCCTCTCTTCTAGTTCACTACTGACATAGACCTTCTCAATAAAAGGCTCTCTTTCTTCTTTTTCACTACCGCCATAGGCATCTGTGAAACCATATTCACTGTTCTTTTGTTCACTATTAACGCCTGTTTCTCCTTTCATTATTGTCCCTAAGTGAAGAAGTTTCCTTTAATATCATTTTTATGTTTTCATTTTCTTTCATTCTTTTCTTCATATCTTTTTTATCATTTTATTCATTGCAGATGCTTTATTTGCCATTATGGATTAAATATTCCTCTAAAACTGTTCATTAAAAATATTGCATATCTTGATACAGATAATTTTATATTAGAATCCTTTTATAATTTATAAAAATAAACCATTCATTTAACTAATGTATAAACTTCCTATTGTAATCTAAGCACATAAAGGAAAAAGTAATACTTGAAAATCCACCTTTATCTTGTTCTTTCTGTCTCTGCATTCTTTTCCACATGACTCTAACTATTATCGGCAGGAGAATAAGAGTCAAAACAGCAACAAAACTTCCCACGATTGCCCAGATATGTGCAGAATCATCCTCTGGGAAAGTTGTTGTTTGACTATTTATTGCTGTTGTGTTGTTCATTACATGATTTGTTGTAATCTTTGCGAGAAATGTTTCCGTTGTTTCTTCAGTAGATATATCCAATGTGCTATTCGTGAAAGATTAAATTTGTTTTCATATACTCAATATACACACAATGTTTCTTAATGTGATCAATAAATATCAATCACTTACACATTTGCACATGATGGATCAGCAAGATAACAACGATGCTCCGTACTAATCCTTTGGCAAGCAGGGTCTGATTTCAAGCAATATTAATAAGAT